GGAGGGGGGCCCCGGCGTGGGACGCGGCGGTGCGCGCGCGGGTGCGCACGCGGGGGAGGGTTCCGGGTGTGGACGCCTGTGTGTGCTGCACACGCGGAGGAGAAAGGGGGCGGATGCATGTGCACATACGCACGCAGGGGAGAGGGGGGCCAGGTGTGTGCATATGCACATGGGTGTATTTGCGGGTGTGCGTGCACACAGGCAGAAAGGGCACAGATTTTGTGCTCACAGGTGTTTATGTGCGCGCACGGAGGAAAAGAGGCTGGGTGTGTGCACCGTGGAGGAGAAGAGATCGGTGTGTGCGCGCACGTGTGTATGTGTACTCGCGGAGGAGAAAGGCGGGCTAGGTTTGTGCACGTGGGCGTGTTTGGGCGGGTGCGTGTGTAGGTGCACGGAGGAGACGATGTGTGTGCGCGCAGCGCAGAGGGCCCTGTCCACCTGGTGGTGCTCTCCTGTCCGTGCTCGGCCCTCCTCCGCCCAGATTCTGCGCGTCCTTGGTGCAGAAGGGTGCCGGGGAGGGAAACTCGGCAGCCGGTTTGCTTCTCATCTCCAGGAGCGCCTGGTGGACCCTGAGCCCTGGAGACTTGTCCTCCCTGCAGCCCACCACCACCAGGGCATTGGGCCCAGGGCCTGGAGACCCAGCAGAGGGCGGGCTGGGCCTGGGAGTCAGTCCAAAGTTCAAGGCTGCATCAGACGACGGTGTGCAGCGAGCACAGGCATAAGAGCACAGGCATAATTACCATCTCGGGACTTGAGCACGGGAGCAAAGGCCTCTGCACCGAAGGGCAGCGTGTTTGCATTACACCCCCTAGCGCGAGGTCAGTTTAGGTTACTCCAGTCTTAAACTGTTAACACCTTAGTGAGCACTAATTTCTTCTTGAAGACAGCAGAAATCTTCATTCTTTGTCCAGATTAGCACACAATGGACACATGGGCAGAAACATGGATGGTACCGTGATGGAGGTGCATTAAAAGGGAGGGAAAGTCCTACAGAAGGACCTTATTTCTCTGCTGGTGGAATTTACACTGCTCTACCCTTAGCAAGTGCCCATGATACCGGAACCTACATCCCTCCCTTTCGTACCTCCAGTGGCCATATGTCCCTAGCTCCATTTTTCTTTCACAGTAATTCGTTTTTGACTATATTTGGCTATTTACCCCCAGATGGCAGCCGGAAGCCCCCTTCCCAGCCCTTGGACCCAAGTGCACAGGACAGCAAGTCTCCTGTGAGAGCTAGGGGCTCAGAGTTAGGAAGAAATGGAGGATCAGAGGACGGAATCTTAAGCCTCTGCCTACAGATTCAAGGTTCCCGTGATTCGATATTGTTTACACGGGATGACTACCTGTAATATTCAAAATAATTTCTGCACAAAAATCCCTGTAGTGAAATATTCTGAACTCACAAGAGCTACCACAGCAATGACAGCTCTTTGAGGCTCCGGTTTACTTGGGGAAAGGGAAAACACTTGTTCCTCTATAGTCAAATATCCCCCATTTCTGTGTTAAAAAGTAACAATTCTCTCTTGGTTGAAGATCCAAATATTTTCAGCCACTGCCTTGCCTTGAAGTCTCTAGATCAGATTGCAGGAATGCAACCTCTTGATAAGTACCGCACCCCAACTCCCTGTATTCATCTGATCCTTCCAGCGCCATCTGTGTCTGGGGCAAGAGTTGTTCAGGAAGCGTGACTTCTAGTGTTGATCCACTTCCCAGTGGCTGGTGTCCAGCCCCGCCTCATCGTCCAGGACACCACAAGAAAATGGTTCTGAAGAAAGTGATCGGGGTCCTTCCCAGGAAAAGTCCTCATCTCCCCAAAGCTCCCTCTCTCTTTGTGTGTCCAGTCTGTTGAGTCTTAGCGCATGAGACAAATCCTTACCCCCTCCCCCACCCCCATAAAAGAGAGAGAGGAAATTTTCTAATCCCTTGAAAACTTTCATTCTAAATCTGTTTGTTCAATACCTGCTTGTCTTTGGCTCCCCCCTCAACGACACTGGTCTTTTCGCCAGCCCTTTCCTGTTTCCCATCTTCCTGGGCCACCTCAGCAACGGTGATGTCAAGAGGTGGGAAGAGCGGGAGGGGACGGGGCTCGTGGGACTTACGGGGGATGTTTCGGGATGTGGACAAGTGACGCTTTCTCATTCTTTGGTAAAATATAAATAAAGGCATCTTGGGAAAACTTTGTTCTGCTTATTTGTGTGTATCGTAAAACTTAAGTAAATCAACGTGCTTGCTCAAGCCCAAGATAAATCCCCCAGCCCTCTCCCCAAGGAGGTCACCGCCTCTAAGCCCCATCTGCCACCCAGACACGTGAAGACGCCTTTACTTCACGTGAAGACGCCTTTACTTCTCTCTTACTCTTCCTTATGTTCACGACTCCTTTTGAGAACTGCCGGTCAAATCCAAAGTCCTCCTCTTGGAAGGAGGGTCAGTCCCTGACGCCCTTGCATCATTATGCTTTGGATATTGCTCATGCCTCCATCACTGAGTCACTTGAACAAGCACTTACAGGCTGAAGCCACAGTCCTTTGAAAAGTGACCCTTGGATACAGCTAATTCTAGAAGACGACAGTGTCCAATTTACTCAAGTATCTCTCACAGCGCTGTTCACTACTTAGACTGGCTTTTCATCTGAAATGTTCTCTGGCTTTTACAACAAAAGAAATCCCTTCCGTTCCTTCGCCATTTGACTCCACAATCCTAAAGTGTTCCTTCTGTGTGACTTCCCATTGCTCTAGCTACGATGATGTCAATGTTACTTTCTTCCACGGACCCTACAATGTAAGGCTGAAAGACCCAAGTCCTCTTTGTACCCTTTCCTTCCTCAGTAGAGTCCGTTTTCCATCACCCGGGAGTGAAAGCAGCCCCAGGAGCCTGCAGCACAATTTTAAGAAACTTGACTTTATGTACAATTGAGTACTTTTGGTCATTTCTCTGCTACCTGTCCACTCATCTTACGGGTTCAGAGAAGGACCTTGGAGCCACCCGCTACAATGAAGCTGAGATGAAGGGCAGTCAGACAATAAGTAATCTCAGCTTCTCTGATGTTCAAACTCCTTTAGCTCAGAAATAAGCAGACCAAATCTAGTTCTCTGATAGGAAGACGAACCGCAATTTCAAAACCTTTACCTTTCCTGCGTTCCTCATTCACCAAACATGTTTGAGCTCAAATACATGCCAGATGGGACTCTGAGTGCTGAGGTTGCACAGATTAGTAAAATGGAGGATGGCTTAAACAGGAAAGGCAGATCACGTACAATGGAATACAAGAGGAGACAATACTCTTCGCTATAGGGGAAGGGAATTACAGAAGCAGGAACCCTTGTTCCCCCTGCAGGCAGTCCGGAGGGCTTCACAGAGAAGGTGACATTTGAGATGAGCAGTGACCAGCTGAGAGTATACAGAGAGGTGTCGGGCAGTGGTTGCGTCCCTCTGTCCCCAGCTCCTGTGGGGGCCCCTTCCACAACTGTCTGCTCAGGTCCCTATGCTGTGCTTGCTCCCCGTGCCCTCAGCCTGGGGGGAGTAAGGGCTTCCTGCAGGTCCTCGTCACCTCTACTGGAGTCGTTAGCCCACCCATACCACTACGTTGGTGCCCTTTCAATCTCCATAGACAAAGCCTTCGGTGTCCATCTAGTCCTGCCAACACTAGGGCTGTTCAAACTCTAAACGTTAAAAGTGGTTCCTAATGACATGGATCGATTGATTTGCAGAACCAAGAAAGGATATGCTTCAAGTAGGAGGGAGTGATCAACAGTGTCAAATGTGTTACAGGATCAAGTAGAATGAAAGGTGAATAGAGGTCATTCTACCTGGCAATCAGGTAATTGATGATTTTAGGAGAACAGGTCCAATA